CTGATGTGAATAGAGCTAAGATAAACCATGATACAACTTTACTCCCAAACCTGCAAATCCTGGGACAAATGATCTCAGGATGGTTTCGAGTTGTTTTTTGGTTTTTTATAGTTTTCCTAAAATATTCACATTGTTGGCTGTGTGAATAATCAATGTGAATAGACCCAGGAAAAAAACAGGATAAAACTCTGCATGCCTTGAATGTTTTTCGAATACTGACACCACATGTGAGCAACAGGACATGCAGAGATGCAGTTCCCATTCAAATATAGTGTGGAACAGCAAAACTGGAATGCCTGGGTTTGCATAGCTGCACTAACAAAAACAATGTCTGAATAACCCCAAAGTGGTGTCAAACTGGATTATTTCTGCAGTGCTGGGTCAGAAGCAGCAGGGAAGAGAACAGGTCTTTCCCCCTCTTCTTCTATCCACCTGGCTAAACTCATGACCAGGGAGGATCTACATAAATTCAATGAGGAAATTGAAATGTACTTATGTATAAGTCTAGGAATTTTAGTCAAAAAATTGACCCCAAAAACTTGAGTCAACTTATCCATGGATCAATGTAAGTACTATATTTCAACTCTTATTTTAAAAAGAACTATCTCCTGGTGAAAGGCAAGAGTACACTTGCCCCTCCGTTTTCGAGGACCTGAAGTCTGTGGTCTTGATTCTTCGTGGAGGGACAAGCTCCATAGGATAAAATGACGTACACACCCAGCTGTGCGCAGGAGTGCATGACCATTCAAGCCAATAGGGCTTGAGTATTAGCATTTTTCCATTTTTGCAGGGTGTGTGTCTCTGGAACGGATCCCTCGCGAAAATGGAGGGGCCTCTCTCTCATCCATCCAGCCTTTATTGTGAGCACAAAATAGTTATGCCTGCTGGAATTTTGTAAGTCCTTTGGTGCAGTTCTTTTTTGCCTCACCCTTTACCCTTTGCATCCTTTGTTACACACCTTTAAAGTTTTACCATCAACTTATCCATAGGACTCATCAAAATATATAATTTGGGCTTCAAAACTGCCCTTGATTTATACATTAGGTTAACTTATAGTCGAGTATATAGAGTTCCCATACTTTGGATCAAACATTGATCAGAATGGAGAATGCAGTCAAGAAATCAGAAGAAGTCTCGGAATGAGGCGGGCAGCTATGTAAGAACTAGAAAAAGATCCTAAAGAGTAAAGAGATACAACTGAGCACTAAAGTTAGCACCATTGTTTTCCTCTTAACCATTTACAGATGTAAAAGCAGGACAGTGAAGATAAGCGGATAGGAAGAGTATTAACTCATGTGAGATGTGGTTCTGGAGAAGAGTGCTGAGGACACCATGGACAGCCAGAAAGACAAACAAATGGGTCCTTCAACAGATCAGGCTTGAACTGTCCCTGAAAACCAAGATGATCAGATTGAGACTTGTATTTTGGCCACATCATGAGAAGGCATGAATTACTGGAAAAGACAATGATGCTAGGGAAAAAATATAAGGTCATAGAAAGAGAGGAAGACTACATGCCAGATGGATGGATTCAATGAGGGAGATCATGGGCCTGAATTTACAGGATCTAAGCAGAGCAGGAAAGGAGAGGGAAGCATGGAGTCTCATCTACAGGTTTACCATGAACAAATTAACAACGCACTGTAGAAATAATGCAGTTTGACACTACTTTAACTGCTCTGACTCCATCCTACTGAATCCTCAAGTTTGTAGTCTGGTGAAGCACCAGTGCACCTTGGCAGATGCAGCTCTTGCAAATGTAACATGAAAGGGATTCATATTTATTGTTTGTGTTCTGTTCTAGTTAGGAGTAGTGCTGCCACGTTTTTAAAAAGAGTAGAAAGGAGCAGTCAAATTCAGAGTTGACAATCAGGAAGTAGCTCTAACAAGTTTACATTTTACTGAAATACCAAAGGAAACATTTATTTCAGTTCATGTGTTTCTATACAAATTGTCACATTGTCCATATTCATACATTATGTGATAAATATGTTTCTGTCTTTGTGAAGGGCTCACACCCCCCAAAATAGAGTTTTTTGATGTCATCTTCAGTCTATATATATAAAAAGTGTCTAGCCTTCAAATAGAGGACATTCCTTCTCATAAGAGTATCTACTGCTCTGATAAGGAATAAGCTTCCTGACCTGCTGTAAAGGGCAATAATGGATATCTGACAACCCTAGTTATGGGATCACTTTTGTGAAAATGAAAACTAACCTATGGACTTAAAACATTTTCTGTGTTTGGCTGGCATTCTCTCTCCGTAGCTGTACTCAGATTTCACTGTAAAGGTGCATTTGTTGCTCTACACAGGGAGTTGTACATAGGACCTTAAAGTGAGACTTAGCATCAAGATGATCCCTGTACATTACAGAAGGAAATTGAAGCAGCAGCTTCAAAATCAAATCTGTATTGTGTATGTTTTTTTCATTTGACTCAGAGGAAATTTTTAGAAATGGAGCAGTTATAAAAAATACCATTCAATAGGAACATAAATGGCTCATTCTCCATGTTTTTATATAGCAGGTTTGAGACTTTGACATTATTGCAGTGTCTGTCACGCTCATCTTGTAAGATAGGGCAGAATTATCTCCATATTGTAAGGAGCCATGGTAGAGAGAACTACTATTCACTAGGAAGGATTGCCTTGAGTCACTTAGCCACTGTGCTGCATTAAGGATACTTTGAAATAAAGGAAATTGGAATTGCCAAAGAAGCAAGTTGCAAGCAAAGCTCCTTACAATGTATAGCTTTTCAAATTATTGCTGTACAAGAGTTGATTTGTTTTAATGTGTGTCCCAATAGGGAGCTCAGTCAGGTGACTTTTGAAAACAAACATAACCTGTGCCACTCCCCTTGCTCAGTCATGCTTTAATTTCCTCTATATTACAACACCAGGCAGAACTGAAAAAGGTGTTTCTGATTGACTCAGGCTGCAAGGCATAACCCACTTACTCCAGAAGAATAGTTCTTAAACACTGCTGCAAATTTGGTGTGATTACAGCAGATCATGTGGTTAATTTTGATTATGGCCTTGGGCTTACAAGGCAGCCTAAATGATAACTTATCTACATTGGTTTAGATGGGCTTTAGGGCAAGTTAATTAATCCCCTTTGAAACTGATGAAACGTAATACTTAAATCCTAAGAACATGTATTATAGAAATTGATGGGATTTGCTGTGCTTTAGTTGAAGGATACCCTCCAGCAACCCATGGGGTGTTACTTTCTGGGAGGCACTTCCTGACCAATGCTTTGGGGGGGGGGTGCTGTTTCCCACCCTCCTCTTCTTCTTGATTACAAATGTAATAGTGTTAAACACAACTTGCTGTCTGAGTCTAAGGACTCTGATGCACAATCACTGACAAACCTTAACTATTTTGTGGTTCTAACAATTCCCCTGTACAAAAAGCCACAATGAAACATAGCTCTTCCCTCAGTTGCAAGCCTCTGTCCCACTGTTACTTTTCAATCATGCTCCAGATAGAATTCCTCAACAGAAATGCGGCCCCAAGCCTGAGTCCCATTCATAGAATCACTGAATCATAGAGCTGTCAGAGACCAAAAAGACCATCCAGTTCAAGCCCCTGCCATGCAGGAATACACAATCAAAGCACTCCCAAAAGAGGACATTCTTTAGTCCCAACTAGAGTAGACCAACTTGACTCAATATGAAACTGTGAGTGGTTATTCAGATGGCTTTTTTGTTTGCTTGTTTGTTTTTAGCATGATGATGTAGATAATACAACTCACACATTCTGGAGTTGTTATTTGCACTATTTTCTTTATCCGAACTTCACCTCTTTGCATCTCTCCATGTTTCCAGTGCAGAAGTATTTTGTGCTACATATTTAAGGAGCAGTCCTCTTCTGGAGAGCCAGCTTAGCATAGTGGTTTGAGTGTTGGATTGTGACTCTGGAGACCAAGGTTCAATCCCCAGCTTGGCCATGAAACCCACTGAGTGACTTTGATCAAGTCACACAGCCTCAGGGAAAAGTAATGGCAAACCTCCTCCAGACAAATCTTGCCAAGAAAAACCCATGATAGGTTTGCCTTAGGGTCACCATAAGTCAGAAACGACTTGAAGGCACAGAGCAACAACAACCTCTTCTGAGGGGGGTTGCAGACTGCCAGAAATAGTGCAAATTGAGTCCACTTTTAGGGTTAGGGTTAGGGCTAGGGAATCATGGGAACTGTAGTTTATTGTGTTACCAGAGCTCTCTGACAGAGAAGGCTCAATGTCTCAGAACAAAAACAATTCCCATGATTCCCTAGCACTAATCCTAACCCTAAAAGTGGACTCAATTTGCACTATTTCTGGCAGTCTGCAACCCCCCTGAGTTTTCCTGGAAGGAAAAGTCTTGATGCCTCATTCATGGTAGAGAGGTCAGATAAACAAGCACAAATTCCCATTTATAAGAAACACTAATTGAAACTCAGAAACAAATATGCAGGAAGACAGAGATTGATCCTCTGCCTGACAAGACAGATAATGAAAGAGAGAGACAGAGAGATTGGCCCAGAACAGGAAGATCCACAATCACTATCTCTCAGTCTAAGCTACTTTACAGAATTGAGAGAGATCTTGTAGCACCTTTGAGACTAGACTGAAAGAAAGAAGTTGGCAGCCTGAGCTTTCATGGACTTCAGTCTACCTCCTCAGATGCATCTCTACATACAAGATCTCTATATACTGATTCTATATATCTTTGAATTCTACTTTACAGAGGTATTGTTCAAAGACAAAGTCATGTTAGTCTGAAATATCAGTATGCAAAAGGATCTTATTGAATCTTTGAGATAAACTGGGCAAAAGGTGTGGTAGCATAAACAGATGTAACTTGCCCAGAGTTACCTGGTGGGTTTCCATTTACTGAGTGGATTTGAACCCTGGTCTTCAGAGTCATAGTCCAACCACTGGCTCTGTACACTGCCAAACCATTACAATATAATACATTTTTAAAAAGAAATTATTGAAGTGATCATAGGCACTATAGAGATATTAAATAAAATATTTGCACTAGGAAATGTTTTATATGGTAGTATAATAAGAGACAGTATGGTGTAATGGAAACCCATGAGGGGGCTTGGGAAAGTCACACTTTCTCAGCTTCAGAGGGAGACAAAGGCAGCCCCTCCTGAACAAATCTTGCCAAGAAAATCCCATGATAGGGTTGCCATAAGAAATTATTTGAAGGCACTCAGAAACAACAACTGTGAATTATTTACTGGTTTGTTTTTTAATTGATTTTGTTCCAATTGTCATTTATAATTTGTTTTATTGTATTTTAGTATTATTATTATAGGTTTTGGTGATTGTATCTGGACTCTTTTTTAGTTAATCTTGTGTGCTATCTTGACTCTACATTTTAGGAGAAAAGCAGCATACACATGAAATAAGAACATAAATAAAATTTATGAGCTACCTTTCAATATAAAATATTCTCAGCCAAGGTAACAGTAAGAATAAAACCAATGCCATAGTTTTCTATCATGGTATATGTTGCGTAACTTTATGTATACTTAGCTATGTAGCAAAGGTGCTAAGAAACTCTGTTAGTGAATTGCAAAAGTGTATTAGAGTCCCTGATGCTCATTGGTGTCTAATGCACACCAGTCCCATTGTGCATTGGTTCCAATGTGTATCAGTTATTTTGTCACTTTCTTAGTTAGTAACATCACAGTAATCCCTAGCTGAATACATTTCAAAATGTAAACCTCTTAGAGTATTGAGTTCACTATTAAGCAGTATAAAAATGTAAATGCTATTGCAAAAACACTCATTTCTGTTTCCCAGAAATGTAAGTTCTCTTATGAAGACATTAAAGACTGTGGAATGACCAGACAGAAGAGATCCAACAACTGGACCAGCTGTTGGTATATAAAACACATTTGAAGACCTATCTGTTTTGGCAGGCCTACCCAGGCAGTTTTAATCATGAATTTTAAACATGAATTTTACATTTAATCATTGTTTTATGTGTTTTAATATAAATATTGGGTAGAGATACATTTTTAATATGTATATTTTATGTAATGGTTGTGTTTTTTAACTATGCTGTAACCTACTTCTAGCCACAAGGAGAGGTGGGTAAGAAATAATAACAATAACAATAACAATAATAAATATCCCTAAATGAATTCTGACCAATGAAATTAAAAACAACAATGGTATAAAAAAAACACACATGAATCAGTTAATAAAAAGGGGAGAATTAAAATAAAAACTCAGAAATGTGAAAACTGGTGAAAGAAATAATCTTCTTGGCACCGAGTGGATGTCCCTGGGGAAAGAATTTCAAAGTATGAATGCCACAGTGCAAATGTTCTCCTTTGTAGCGACCAACTTCATCTCAATGGGCTTCTGACAATCACTACCAGGCTGAAGTACTACAAAGGTGCTTTCTCCCCATCTTTGCTTTCAGTGCCAATCCACATATGAAGAGAAAGTATGTGATACCATGTTTTCCTGAGGCCAAGTCAGAATGAAGATGAGCATTGGTTGACTGAGTATTCCCTTGCTTAAAAAATAACTCCCTGCCTATAAAAGATTAGCATGTCAGAGAAAAAGCTAGACAATTACTCCTTTTCCTGAGATGCTGGCTTTCCATAAGAAGGGAGTTCTGGGTAGAGCAAAACATTGGATCATCTGCATTCACTGGTACAGTCCCAGGTGAGCTTGAACCATATATTGCAGAACAATTCCTGGGAAGCTCAGAAAGATATACTGATTTCCACAAAAAGATTTAACCTTTGTTGTGCGGGTATCATCAAAGATAGAATGACACTTTTTAAAACTGGGATGATTTTGCTCACTTGTTGCCCTTGCTGCCGTCTCTGTTTTTATATCTCATAGTCTGATTGTGATGATGCTGATCAACATTTGTTGTGCTGTGTCCAAGAATTTCAACACGAGGTCCATATTGAGTTTTGGTTGATATCATTCTATATATACAAGATTCTTCCTAAACTGTAACTGTTTTTCCTAAACTGCAAATATTACACTCTAATTTTTGTTATTGTTTCCATTCTTGAATCTCTCTGAAGACTGCAATACCAATGAAACATAAGCAAGTCACAGCCATGTAAGCCCCATGCTGATTACCAGCCCTTCTGGAGAATGTTCTGATTCTATATCTGGCAGGTTTCCAACGGAAAGATGTTTTGGAAGAGTACTATGAATGCATCTATCTTCACCCAATATGGCCTTTGAGGGATGGCTCAAGACATTCTGTTGGCTGAGGTCAAGAACAAGATGATACTCCCTCCCAATCCCTTCACAAATACCAAATGGACTGGCAGTTGAATCCTTCTTCAACACTGATGATAGGGCAGCATCCTTCATTACACCTATAATGTAGCAGGCTAGCATAGGAATTACAAGCCAGGTGGCATAGCCCACAACTCTTTCCTTCAGTGCCTTTCTGCCAGCTCTCAGTATCTGCCACCTGAGGCAACTGCATCCAGCCTGGCTGGAGCAATTATGAAAATGCTGTGGCCATTCTTCCTGAAACGCTTCCCTGGTTTCATGTCCTTTGTTGATTTTCATTTGAAAGGAGTGTTTGTCAGATAGTCAATTATTCATATCTTTGTCTACCAATAAAAGCAGCCTTGTGAAAACATTTCATTCCTGTCATGGTTTCTCGATGCTTTAGGGACAGTGGTTGCATCATTCTAACAGATGCTCTGCTGTGGGGGATAGATGGGGAGGGATAGACTGTGATTTTGAGTTCTCCAATATACTATTGATACTACTGATTATGACCAATAGTCATATGCATCATTTGGCCAGGACAGGACTTGTAGGCATCATTTTGCAGTGCCTGACATTGTTTTTGGAGCATTGTACCTCCAAGTTGGTGTTAAGAAGCTGTTCCACCCTGGAGCCCTGGGTGCCACTCAGTTCTGTCTTGTCTCCTATGGTTTTTAGTAACCACATGAACAACTTGGAAAGATCTTTCTGAAGTTTGGGCAAGCAATATACTGATGATGACACATAGCTCTGCTCCTTGTTATCACTGTCTTAGGGAGGCAGTGGATAAGCTGGACTTGTGTTTGGGTGCTGCTCTGCTATGGATGGAAGTGGACAAGCTAAAATGTAATCAAAATGAGGCACAGGCTCTATTGGTCAAGAGTCATAGTGACTTGGACAAAGGTAAACAATTTGTCCTTGATGGCAGTGCATTCCTTCTGAAGGAACGAACATGCAATTTGATGAGGTTTGTTCCTAGACAGTCTTTGGATGCCCAGGAGGGACAAATGATTAGCAGTACCTTTTACCATTTTCAACTGATTCAGTAGTTATTGCCATAGCTGCAAAGCTGTCCATACAATGGATTGAGTCTAATAATTACATTAAAAGAAAGAAGTGAAACACCTTGTCCCATTTCTCAGCTTGGCATGGTATTTTATAGCAGGCTTCCAAATAAGCTGACAAAAATTATTGCTATCCAGTCCCTGCCCATTTTTCCTGCTGTTAGCCATTTCTGACAAAACCTTTTAAAACTTCTCCTGCTTGGTCATTTCAAGCAAATCTTGCTAGATATAGGTGACAGGGAGTGTTCATTACAGGAACATTGGGGCTACAACTGGATTCCCTCTTCTCTTTTAACCTAGGACCTAGGTGAAGTCCCATAGAGGTTAGCATGGTTCCCATGAACCTGCAGTCTGCTTTTCCGCTGCTGAGAATGTTTAGATAATAACCACAAGGATTGTGGCACAGCATGTTTCTGTGAAGTCTACAAGCACCTGGCTGCAGGCTACTTTGTCTTGTAGCTGAATAGGGCCAAAGAAGTCACAATAGCCCCCAAACAAGAAGAGTGTTTTTCTTCTTGTAAGATGGTGTGCTAATCTGGCTGGGTTTGGCCTCTTCTGCACCTGTGTTTCTGTTTTCTTTATGAGGTGAACATTTGCCTAGCCTACAAGGCCTGTCCCTGACCATTGAGAA